TGTAGTCCCAGCTACTTGGGAGGCTGAAGCTGGAGGATCCCTGAGCTCAGGTACCTAACGCTGCAGAGTTGTGATCGCACCACTGCACTCCAGCTCATGTGACAGAGTGAGACCTTTGTCTCAAAAAAAAAAAAAAAAAAAAAAAAAGTAAAAAGACTCCAGATGGCTTAGGTGGGTGAGATATACACATAAACAATGAGTACTGCAGGATGCAATAAGGTATTGGTTGGAGGTGTGTGCGGAGGATACAGTTCTTCTGGTGACTAGAGAAAGATGAAGCTGTGCACTTGGATGTGTCTCTGTAGAAGGAAGGTCAGACACTCTAGAGAGCTGGGTGTGGGCGTGGGTGTGTGTGTTGGGGGGACTGTGCAGAGAGATGAGGCTTAGAAAGAATGTGGTGGATACATGCAGAGGGAGTCAACAGTGTGCAGGAGCATCTTGTGGGTGGCGAAGCACAAGAGGTTGGCAAACACAAAGACAAGATTATGCAGCGTCTTCCATGCCATGCTCAGGAGCTGAGACTTCCAAGAAAACTTCAAGAACCAGGTGGAAGTGGGATGGCTGATGATCTTCTCTCCATGGCAAACCTTGTGGATACCTAGGAGGGCATTAGGGGACAATCCAGAATTGTACGCATGGTGTGCAATATGTGTGGGCCACACAGTTCTCTCCTGGAGCCTAGGGACTGACTACTGGGGCAGATAGAGCAGTCCACAGAGGTACAACAGGAAAGAACACAGCCGGGGAGTTCTGAGACCCGACTCCAGTCCTGGTTGGACTTCAGCCTTCTCGCCAGTTCAACAGGGCTCTGCTCCAAGCCGACGGCCGCCCTGTCATTTCCATCCCTATCGCTCCTCATACCAACTCTTGACAACACATAGAAGCCTGGATTAATAGTTCCAGCTATCATATTCTGTGGTTAGAGAAACCCCACATATATTTTTAAATGGGCCTAATTACATTGTGAGCCCTTTACAGTTTGAATGACTGAAGCCAGATTCATGAGCACTTGTCGCGGCAGCAGCATCTTTTCGCTGTTAGTGATTGGCTGATAATCCAATTTATGCTTTGGGTATATTGTTTTTGGTTTTGTTTTTGAGACGGAGTTTCACTCTGTCGCCTAGGCTGGAGTGCAGTGGCACAATCTTGGCTCACTGCAACCTCTGCCTCTGGGTTCAAGTGATTCTCCTGCCTCAGCCTCCCAAGAAGCTGGGATTAAGGCACCTGCCACCATGCCTGGCCAATTTTGTATTTTTAGAGAGACAGAATTTCGCCATGTTGGCCAGGTTGGTCTCGAACTTCTGACCTCAAATGATCCACCCACCTTGGCCTCTTAAAGTGCTGGGATTACAGGCATGAGCCACCGTGCCTGGCCCCTAAAAGATTTTTAGATGCTCAGGGCAAGTAGCCGATGATGAGAGGAGACAGTGTCAGTACCCAACTCAGGCAGGGCTTGAGAGGAGAGCAGAGGGAGCTGAGCAGTGCAGGACAGCTTGGGGGTGGCGAGTTGATATGAGATTGAAACACAAAAGACAAGAGTATGAAGGCCATAATCCCAGGAGAGGAGAGTTGGGGAGGATGCTGCTGGGGCTGGGAAGACCTCTCCAGATGCCACTGTCATGATCTAGGCACAGATGAGGTCCTGACCTGTTGATGAGCTGTCACTGATGGAGCAAACCCCAAATGTCTGGTATTGGACTATATCCAAGTCTTCCTTTAAATTTAAAAGCAGATAATTTTTGAAGACAACGCTCTACTCTGTCACCCAGGCTGAAGTGTAGTGGTGGGCGATTGGAACTCACTGCAGCCTTGAACCTCAGCCTGCGATCCTCCCACTCTCAGTTCTTTCAAGAAGCTGGGACTAGGTATGTACCACTACTCCTAGCTAATCTTTACTTTTGCAGACACAGGGTTTCACCATGTTGCCCGGGTTAGTCTGGAACTCCTGGGCTCGGGCCATCCTCCTGCCTCAGCCTCCCACAGCTTTGCAATTACAGGCATGAGCCACCTGCTCCAGCCTACACACATCCAAGTCCTGGTTACCACCTTCAAAGCAGAGGGTAGCGTGACTGCTCCTATGAATAAGGAAGGGTAAGACTTGCAGAGGTTAAGCAACTCTGCCAGGGTTTCCTGAACTAGTTCAGCATCAGGTCTTTCTGCATTTAAAGCTCACAGTTGCCTTGCTGCCATGCTGTCCTCGGGCCTGCGATGACAGAGGCTGAAAGAAGAAAACCTGAGGAGCATCTCTAGGATAGAGCTGACTAAACTGGCTACCAATCAGCTCTTGGGGCTGAAGGAGAGGACAGCACGAAAGAAGATGCCAAGCTCTTCTGGAAGGCTGGGTGGTGGAGCTGCTGGTTTGAAGAGAATCAAGTTGGTTCTGCTGATTGAATGCTATGTTAATTTCCAGTGGCTGCTGTAACAAATTAACATAAACTTTATGGCTTAGAACTGCAATAATTTCATCATCTCATTATGCTTGAAGACCAGAGCCTGGCATGGTCTTACTGGTTAAAATTGAGGTGCAGGTAGGGGTTGGGTTTTAGAGCAGTTGTCCTCAACCTTTTGGCATCAGGATCTGGTTTCATGGAAGACAATTTTTCCACACCAGGAGTGAGGATGGTTTGGGATGATTCAAACATATTACACTTATTGTATACTTTATATTATCATTATATTGTAATATATAATGAAATAATTATACACTGCACCGTAATGTAGCATCTGTGGGAGCCCTGGAGCTTTGTTTACTCGGGTAACTAGACGGTCCCATCTGGGAGTGATGGGAGGCAGGCAGATCATCAGGCATTAGATTCTCATGGGCAGGCAATCTAGATCCTCACATGCGCAGTTCAAGGCCAGGGTTCGTGACTTCTGTAGGACTCTAATGCCACCGCTGATCTGACGGGAGGTGGAGGTCAGGTGGTAATTCTGACAACGGGGAGGGTTGGGGGCAGACAGCTTCACTTGCTTGCCCGCTGCTCACCTCCTGCTGTAAGGCTCAGTTCCTAACAGGCCATGGGCTGTTACCCATCTGTGGTCTCGGGTTGGGAACCTCTAGAGGCTCTGGGGGAATCTGCTTCCTGCATTTTCCAGCTTCTAGAAGCTATCTGTTTTCCTTGGCCGGCATTCTTCTCCAATTTCCAAAGCCAGCAACAGAGCATCTTCCAATCGGACTCTCCTCAACCCTCTTCTGATTTAGAATGTCCGTGGAGATTATTCAGATACTCTTCCTGTCTCAAGGTCCCTAACTTCATCACATCTGCAGAGTCCCTCTGGCCATGTCAGGGGACATATTCACAGGTTCTGTGTATGAGGATGCCAACACCTATGGGGGACATTATTCTACCAACCACGAATGCAAAGTTCAAGAAAACTAAAACAGCTTCAGGGAGAAGGCCCAAGCTGTGAGGAGGTGGCACCTGCCTGGGGAAATAGACCGGGCTCTCTCCACCCTGCAGAGATCTCGGCCTGGGCCTGAAGCTCTGAGGCCACGAAACAGTCAAGAGAGGCTTCCTTTGGTGGGATTCGCCCCTGTATCCACTTGAGGATCAAGAAACCCGTGTCATTGCCAAGGAAAGAGCCACTCTGCACACAGCCTAACTGAGCTAATCAGCGAGGCACAGGCAGCCATTTGATGATGCTCACCTCTAATCTGCTTGGCTTTCACCAGGCCTGTTACCTGTCACATCCAATGCCCCACTAGAAAAATACCAAAGGAGAGTAGTTCAGGGGTGAGAGAGAAAGTGCATTCCGTCTCTGCAAGTAGGAATTCAGAGACATCCAGCGTGTCTTTGTAAGCCAGTGGACTTGCTAAGGAGTCTGAGCTGCAAATATGGATTTGAGAACCATCAGGAAACAGGTAATCATTAAAGCCATGGAAATGGAGAGACTCCCTCCATGGAGGCTTGTCAGGGGAGATAAGACGAAGGCTGGAGAGGGAACCCCGGGCACCCAAGAGGGTGCTGGGGCTGGCTCACAGGAGCCGGGCTTGGGACACCTTTTCCGTTCTGTGTCCAGTGACATCACATGGATTACCTGACATCTGCCACTGTGGGAATATTTACACTACGGAATTTGGCAAATATTAAAACCAGAGATTTCTTTTCTTTTCTTTTCTTTTTTTTCTAGACAACAGTCTCACTCTGTTGTCTAGGCTGGAGTGCAGTGGTGTGATCTCAGCTCACTGCAACCTCTGCCTCCCGGGTTCAAGTGACTTTCGTGCTTCAGTCCTTCCCATGTAGCTGAGACTACAAGTGACTGCCAGCACGCCCAGCTAATTTTTGTGTTTTTAGTAGAGACCGGGTTTCACCATGTTGGCCATGCTGGTCTGGAACTCCTGACCTCAGGTGATCTGCCCACCTTGGCTTCCCAAAGTGCTGGGATTACAGGTGTGAGCCACCGTGCCCGGCTCCTAAACCAGAGATCTTTGCCCCAGAGGGCTGTGTTAAACATTTGGTCTATGAGAACAGCATTGAGAGGACAAGGAAAGAAGGTGGTAGGAGACCATGGTGTCACATGCTAAGCAGGTCTAGAAGCTGGTGGGGGGCTGGACTGAGGGGAGACAGATGAGGAACTGGGTGTGCTAGAGACACATCCTGGACTCTTAAACACCAAACTGGCTCAGGCAACAGGAGTTGTATCTTGGGATTCTGTTTTTCAGGCTGTTTCTCCATCTATGCCCAGCAGTGTCCGCAGAGCCCAGAGAAGGGGTTCAGAAGGCAAGGCCACTATAAGTTGAGGATGAGACTCACGCTGCGGTGGAGCTGAGGGTCTCAGCTGGGTCTCATGCGAGATCCTCATTCAAACCAGAGGGTCAGAGCAAGAAGAGAAGAAGACCTGTGTCCATCAAGACAGTCAGACTGCACATTCACTGTGACCATGGAGGGGCTCAGGCAAAATGACTCCAAACATTTACTTGGTGTGGATTCAGAGACTAGGACCTTATCTCTTGGGACTCAAGTGCAATTGATTGTTGACCCAGGTAAGAACTTTCTCATCTACACGACGAGGCCCTGGAGCTCAGGGCTGGTGCCAATGCCCGACATGCTCCTCCCCAAGGCTGAAGGGCCGACGGTGAGCCTAAGAGAGACAGCGAGAGAGAGAGACAGACAGACAGACGGACTGGGAGGGAGGTGAAAGAAACTAAGGGAGAGTGGCGGCCAGCATCGCTCTGCCATCTCAGTCCCTGAGGTCTCTCCAAGGAATCCTTGTAAGGGCTTGAGATGGGAGTGAGAATGGGGACTTCAGCTTTGGTGACTGGGTAACAGTCCTGCTCATGACATAAAGAGGGAACCTAGAGCGGCTCAGGGAGTCCTAGTATTGAGTCCTAGTAACTGCACCAACTCCAGAGTAGCCTGGGCATCTTGCTACCTCCTTTCTAGGTCCTCAGCCACTTGCTCCGCTACTTTATCTTGGCTGTAAGATGAGCACGGGGTAAGAAAAATCCCAGGGAGATGCGTGGGTGACAGTGGACGCTTGAAAGGAAAGCATGGTCGAACACGTCAGGTCAGGACTTCTTCTGGCTGCCCTGCATTCCTCCATGCCTGGACTCCACCTGACAGACTCTGGGGTCGTCCTGCTGCTGTTGCTGAGTCTGGGAGCAGGGCTCCTCAACCTCCACTTCACCCACACACCTGCACTTATTTCAGCTCAGTGTCCACTTGATCCATTTGGTGGTGATGTGGAAATAGACAATGCCGGTTCTAGAACAAGCCTTAAATGTTGGGGTTAAAATGAAGAGGCACATGGACACAGTGCTAAGCAGCTGGGTAAAGAGGATCCAGAAAGGGTCAAGTAAGACTTCCCCAGGGCTGCCAAGTGAGGGGGAAGCCCAGAATATCTATGGGGGCAGAGAGGGGATTGAGCAAGACATGCAGGTGGTACAAAGAGACAAAAAGCCATGGCCAGTGTGGCGCTTAGGAGCAGGACACTTGGAGTGTTGGGTGGGACCTACAGGGGTACCAGCCAGGTGACGACTCAGCTTCAGGAACTGTTGTGACTGGAGTTACCTTGCTTCTAGACAGGAACCTACCCAGCGTGGCCCCAGCCTGACTCCTTTTGTTTGATTTTGTTTTGTTTTTTGAGACAGGGTTTCTCTCTGTAGCCCAGGCTGGAGTGCAGTGGGGCGACCTTGACTCACTGCAGCCTCGACCTCTTGGGCTCAATTGATCCTTCCACTTCAGCTTCCTGAGTAGCTGGGACTATAGGGGCACATGACCACGCCTGGTTCATTTTGTATTTTTTTGTAGAGACAGGGTTTCACCATGTTGCCCAGGCTCTTTTCGAACTCCTCGGCTCAAGCGATCTGCCCCTTGGCCTCTAAAGGCTGGCTGCAGGCGTGAAATCCACTGCGCCTGACAGCCTGGGACCATTGAGAAGAATTTACTGGGGCTAGAGGACTGAAATAAAAGATCACTGTTGGGTCATGGATACTCAGTGCCGGGCTGGGTCAGGGCCCCCACCAGACTGCCCCCAACAAATTGCCTGTATAGTTGCTCCTAAAAATGTTCCGCTCTCATAGTCGGTGTTCTCTATTTAACTGAGTGTGCCCTTTCATGAGCCTCTCTGGAGCCCCCTTCCTTTTCTGGACTACCCTAATTTCTGGACAGCCCATTTCCAGAATCTTCTCCTTAAGCCCTGCTCAGGCATCACTCCAGTGGAAAAGACCAGAAATTTATTTCCTATCCAATAGTCCCACTTACAAGATAGTGGGAAAGCAGTATGAAAAACCTCTCTCTCCCATAATAGACTACAAAGCATTCTATTTATTTTAATTTTCTTGCCACACCTGAAAAATGATGGGAAAAAATGTCTGTGTGTTGAGATTGAGGTACTCCAGTAGAAGATGAGGGCTGTAGCAGGAGAGAAAATCCTCCTGCTCCAGGGGAAAAGGCCTCTGGGTGAGGGCTGGCAGGGTCGGGTGTTTGGTGACCCATGCACGAGCTCCCACCTGTGCTGCTAACCCATGGTTGACTTTGCCTGTACCCAGAGGAGCAGCTTCTCGCACCAGCAAGCTCTTCTGTCAACGGCAATATCATAGTGTCCACTGTGCCCCCACAAGAGTTGTCATGTGGTTCTTTCTCCTCTCTGTCCCTACCTGGGGGTACCTCCTAAGGGGAAGCCAAGCCTGAGAACTCCTGCCTATCACCAAACACCAACACCTGTTCTAGCCAGAGTCGAGGCCCTGGGCCCACCCTCCATCTCTCTCCTGCCCCCATCACTGCCAATCACCATCTCCCCACTCTAGCTCACCAGAAAACCACTGCAGAACTCTTCAGTGAGTATCATCCGCCCAGTCAATCAGTCAACCTGCACATAGTGGCCCCATGGGTGCCGGGGGAGATAAGATACCACCTCTGTGGTGCAAGACATCAAGGGACACAGAACAGGAAGGGTGATTTACCAGTCTGGAGCTGGCATTAGTAGGAACAGAGGCAGGAAACACAACCTGTATTTGGTGACTCTGCGCTTCTGTTGAGCTGAGATGTACTTTGAGCAAAGAGGGTCCTTAGAAGGTAACGCTAGAAAAGGAAGACGGGCCCTGTGTGAAACCAGCTATGGTGATTGTTGAGGAGCCCTTGAGGCTTAAACCAAGGAGAGGTTTACAGGATCTTCAGAGTGGGGTTGCTCCGCCCAGGTCACAGGCTTGACTGATGGCTCACAGGGAACAGGATGGGAGACATGGCCTGGGGGTGCCCAGGCCCTGACCACTGTGTTCCCTTCCCCAGGAACCACTACATGCTCCTGGTATTTGTGAAGGTGCCCATCTTGCTCATCTTGGTCGGTGCTATCCTCTGGGTTGAAGGGGTCTCAGAGGGTCCCCGAGGAGCCAGGGGACCAGCCTGTCCACAATGAACTTCTCCGAACTTCCGACTTCACAAAGACATGGCCCCTTAGAGAGATGGATCTGCAGAGCCTTCCTGCCTTGGACCACGTTTCCAGAAGAGACTTGGGCTGTGGAAGGAACATCTCCAAGTCCTCGGGATGCGGCAACTGAGATAGGGGCCCCAGGCCTGCCCTGCCTTCCTTGAGCTGGTGGGCACCTCCCTGAGCCCACCAGGCTGGGGCCTCTCCTGAGCCACCATCACCTTCCTGGGGTGCCAGCACCTGTTCTCTTGGTCAGAGCCGCAGAGATGGAGCTCAAGCCTGATGACTGTAACCCTACTGCTGGAATAACTCTGGCACAGAGCATGGGACCAAAGTACAGAGAGAGGTTGGGGGAGACCCCCCAGCTCTAGACTTCCATCATCCCGGAGACCAACTCAACACTGTCTTTGCCTTAGAGCCTGATATATCCATTTTTAAAAAATATTTTTTTCTGGCAAAGTTGGGTTTTGGGCTAACTTGTGTTCATAAGAACTATTCCATCCCAGCACACAAGGAGAGTGATTCTGGGATGAGTTCCTGATTCTAGGGCATGAGGGGCTGGATGGACCCTTTCCCCAGGGAGGACATGGCTCTGAGTCCACAGGGTTGAGGAGGAACCTCCCCCTCCCACCTCCTCCTCCTGGCTCCCCAAGCTCTGCCACTCCCTCCTCTGGGGGCTGCAGCTTGGGGAGCCTCCTCAGCGTGACAGCTCAGGTCTCCTCTCCCAAAAGAGCCTGTTGGCCTCAAGCACCTCCAGGTGGGGAGGGCAATAACAAAACTATCGCAGGGAAATGGCACCTTCCTCTTTCAGTAATGTTGAAATCATGTTATCACAAAACTGTCCTAGGGAAGTGCTGCTGTTCTCACATGCCTCACCCATTTATGATGAGGCCTCTCAAATGTGGTCACTTTAGGCCAGAGCAGGTGAGGACCTCACACCAAAGGGACTTCACTTCTTGTGAGGAGAACCAGCTCCATGAGACGCTCTCCTCCCCAACCTGCACAGATGCACAAACACACCACACATGTTCAGCATGTTGCTCCTTGAACACCCATGAGGACGCCTCCCTGCTCTTGGTTCTAATAGGAGCTCTGACTGTCAGCAGTGGATAAAGGAGAGGGGGCCCTCTGGTCCCTAGCATGGCAACCGGAGCCTCCTCTTCCCACTGTGACTCTTTAACTCCTCCTGTTGTCCTTCAGCCAAAGAGAAACTTTCTCTTCTGACACTCAACTGAATTTAGGCTCTGGACAATGATGGGCCTGAAAATTCCATAATGGCCAGAAAGGAAGGAGAGTTCGAGCTGGGCTAAGACTCTGAGTCATTCTGTGGGGACCAAGACTCACAGTCCACCACCCCAGGGCCCTGCTTCCTGAATGCTTTCCTGGATCCAGCCTCCCAAAGATCCGCCAGACCCAGGAGGACCGCAGGCTCTACGAGAGGGAAACCAAAGCACGCATGTCATTAGCTGGACTAAAGGGGCGAGGGCTAATTGGCGGCTTGTCAAGGTGATGTCATTCTTTTCCCACCGGTTCTTCCTGTTGATATTCAAAGAATCCCTCAATCTCTCGGGAGCTAGTGGTTGGGTTGTTTTTCTTGTGGCTCCATCGAGGAGAATCCACCAGAGTAAAGTAGGCATCTATTGTCTGTCTGCCCACCCAGCACACACGTCTACACCACTACCCACGTACGCATTTCAGGAAATACCCCTTTGGACCTAACGCAAGCTGACAAGCAAAGCTCTGGGCTTCATTACACCCATTCTCTGGGATAGGGAGAGAAAGACGGGAAAGTCAATAAATGAGCCACTAGTGCTGGTGCACTGCATTTACAGCAAAAGTGTTTCAAACCGGGAGCTTGGAGCCAAAGCCTCATGCCCTTTAATAGCCACACCATGAGGATTTGTCATAAACTGATTTTCACCTTCATGGAACTAAAAAGTTAGTGATGTATGGGTATGGTGGCTCCCGCCTGCAGCCCAGACCTTTGGCAGGCTGAGGCAGGTGGATCACCTGAGGTCAGGAGTTCAAGCCCAGCCTGGCCAACATGACGAAACTGCTGTGTCTACTAAAAATACAACAATTAGCTGGGTGTGGTGGTATACACCTGTAGTCCCAGCTACTCGGGAGGCTGAGGCAGGAGTATCTCTTGAACCCGGGAAGTGGAGGTTGCAGTGAGCCAAGATTGTGCCATTGTGCTTCAAACTGGCAACAGAGGACACAGCAAAACTCTGTCGGAAAAAAAAAAAAAAAAAGGTTGGCAGGTATGGCTCTACTCTTTTAAGAGAAAAGCACAACTTCTCCTTCCTATACAGGCTTTTACTTCTGAACAACTGCACAACCACAGAGGAAGTTCAGAGCTGAGGGCAGCTGGCCAGGGGCAGTAAAGAGAGAGCAGTGGGAAGGGCCCTCACCAGGTGGGGTACATGGGTTCCTTCTTCCCTTTAAAAATTGTGTAAAAATGAACAAACAAAAACACCTAACATGAAATCTGCCCTCTTAACAAACTCTTAGGTGTGTGGGTAGCAATATTCTTTTTTTTTTTTTTTTTTTTTTTTTTTTTTGAGACGGAGTCTCGCTCTGTCGCCCAGGCTGGAGTGCAGTGGCGCAATCTCGGCTCACTGCAAGCTCCGCCTCCCGGGTTCACGCCATTCTCCTACCTCAGCCTCCCGAATAGCTGGGACTACAGGCGCCCACCACTGCGCCCGGCTAATTTTTTTCTATTTTTTTTAGTAGAGACGGGGTTTCACCATGGTCTCGATCTCCTGACCTTGTGATCTCGCCTACTCGGCTCTCCCAAAGTGTTGGGATTACAGGCGGAGCCACCATGGGGGCCTCGGCCCCAATATTCTTAATTATATGCACATTGCTGTACAGCAGAGTTCTAGAACTTTTTCACCTTGCATGACTATATCACACCAATTGAATAGCAACTCCCTTTCCACTTCTCCACCAGCCCCTGGCTGCTACTGTTTTACTTCTTTTGCTTCTATATGTGACTAGTTTAGCTACCTCATGTAAGCAGAACCATGCAGGCTTTAACCTTCTGTGATTGTCTTAGCAGCATAACGTCCTCAAGATCCATCCATGCTGAATATGGTAGGATTTCCCTTCTTTGTTAAGGTTGAATAAAATTGTATTCCATCGTAAGATAAAGAATGCGAGATATATACATAATGGAATACTGTTTAGACATAAGAAAGAACAAAATTTGACTTGGCGTGGTGGCTCACGCCTGTAATCCCAGCACTTTCTAAGGCCGCACAGGTGGATCTACTAGGCCGCAAGATTGAGACTATCCTGGCCAACATGGTGAAACCCTGTCTCTACTAAAAGTACAAAAATTAGCTGGGCGTGGTAGTGTGTGCCTGTGGTCCCAGCTACTCGGGAGGCTGAGGCAGGAGAATTGCTTGAATCCGGGAGGTGGAGGTTGCAGTGAGCCAAGATTGTGCCACTGCACTCCAGCCTGAGTGACAGAGCAAGACTCCGCTTCAGAAAAAAAAAATTCTATAAATTTGTGGTAACATGGGTGAGCCTGGGAGGCACAGGGAATGAAATAAGTCACATGAAAGAGAAATACTTGCATGTTCTCAAGTTGATCTCTAAGACATAGAAAGTAGAACAAGACATAGAAAGTAGAACAGTGGTTATTAAAGGTGGGGAAGTGTGTTGGGGGTTAGGGGATAACCAGAGATTTATTAACAGATACAAAGTACAGCTGATAGGCTGGATAGCACTAGAGGGTGCTCCATAATTGTCAACAATTTGTATATTTTCAAATAAGTAGAAGAGTAGATTTGGAATGTTTCAACACAAAGAAAAGTGAGGTGAGTGATATGAATTACTCCTTACTTGATCATTACACATTATATATACATATCAAAATATCACGATGTGCCCCATAAATATGTCTGATTGTGTATCAATTAAAAATAGTAATAATTTTTTTAAATAAAGAAATAGAAGAATAAACCATGTTCTCAACCTACTTTGCCACACACTATAAAATATTTTTCTCATCTCCTGCTAAAATATGATTCCATTGTGTATTAGCTTGTTTTTATGCTGCTGATAAAGACATACCTGAGACATGGCAATTTACAAAAGAAAGAGGTTTATTGCACTTACAGTTCCACATGGCTGAGAGGTTTTACA